GCCTGCAAAAGCAACTAAGTGCCACAGAGACATTTGGACTTGATAAGAACAGAAGATTGTTTACAGCCCTATTTACTCCTGACCATGAATACTGTGCTTTGCGTACAACAAGGACCTGAGCAAACCCCGTTGCTCTGACACATTTGTTGCTCTGCTGAGATTCCAGAGGGCACAGCCACTTCCCACTGGCACCACTGTGCAGGTGGCTTTCCTGAGGCTTTCTGCTCCGAATTATGATCTCCAGCCATATGGGGAACACACTCATCAAACACATACACCCTTTAGAGCTGATCTCCCTCTGTACCCTCTTGTTTTTATGTTGTCCTGTTCCCCCACATGCCCCCATGCCATGTTTTTTCTCTCTCTGGCAAGAACACAGTCAGGTTTTACTGCTAGAAAAACCCCCAGGAGTTTGGGATTCAGACAAAACAGGGAAGCTACTATGCTTTTCACCACCAAGTGACCATTGCTCCCCCCAGGCAGGCTGGCACCCTTGATCACAAGGAGGGGAATAGACTTCCAGCTGTGTTTGCCCTAGCTGCAAGAGCTAAGCTGCATTTTTCAAACATGGAGAACAACTTCTCTCACCTTTAAAAGCCAGCTATCTAGCACCAGACAGCCCAAGAGAAAAAGCTGCAGGCAGCAGGAGTGCCCCAAGGCACTGGGCTGTAGCAGCCATGAGGTTTTCCCACTGCTCCCAAGGCAAGGGGAGAGGGGGTTTCCCACCGCAGCCTCCTCTCAGCATGGTGAGGGCTCTGAGCTCACACCTGGCACGACATCGCCAGGCACACCCACCTGGTTTTGCAGGGATCGAGGTGCACAGAAGCCCAGCCTCCATAAGGTCTCACCACATCTGCAGAAGTTGTTCCAATAGCTGTCTGTGAGAAATAAATGAGAAAGACAGAAGATTATAAGTGTTCTATTTTTGGTTGTTTGTTGTTTTTTTTGGCTTTTTAAACATTCATTGGGATGTATGTCTAATGCCGAAGATTAGTATTTCATTTTTTCCTCTGACTATAAATACATTGCCTACGGATATATCAGAAATACACAATAATGCAACTATGAGTTATTTACCTGCTGGGGCAATGCTAATGAGTATTCTAGCAATGAAAATGGCTTTACTGGCTTGTAAAATATAAAACAGCAGGGAACTCACTGGAGACCCCACAAGCATATGTCAATAAACTTAAATTATTCACAAGTACACAAGCCTCCCAGGATACCAGCTTCTCAGGCCCCTTTCATTTCCTGACTGTTCCTGACTGCCTCACATTTTGAACAAAGTCAAAGACTAATTTTCTGTCTTCCTCAAGCCCAAAAAGTTTTTGCAGAAGCCAAATAATCATATGAAAAACATTTAATTCGGATAAAAACAGAGTATCTTTTTGGCTAATACTTCATATATCCAATGACATGCATTGCAAAGTGCAATAGTAATACAGGACAATTGTACCTAAGACCATAAACAACTGAACATAAATGACATTTTACCAGAGTGCTCTAGCAATGCCCTCAGACACAGCACTGATACAGTGTGCTCTCATTCACAATGTTGCTGTTCTTTGTTTCTCTCCTCTACATCAACCCTGACAATATTAACGTCTGTAACAATCACTAACCGCTCTCATTTTGACACTTCCAGCATACACTGCAAGGCTCTGCAGGGTGTTACAAGTAAAACAGAAGGTGCTAATCCCCACCAAAGGTCCTTCAGCCAATATTCAGATCAATGTTTGGACTTTAACAAAAAAACTAAAAAAACAACATATTAGAAGTCCAGGCATCTGTTGTCACAAAAAGATTGTGATTGCTGTATTTCATGTGCCTCTTCATTATAAATCCATTTGGCACCCTTTATAACAGCCTAGCCTCAGAAAAATTATTTGATGTTCCTGTAGATGTCATATGTGCCCTGTGCTTTTACAGCACTTCTATTGTAATTCAACATTAATTATCTTTCCAATTAATGTACTGCATAATGCTGCAATATGAAATGCTCACATTTTGCAAATGAGAAAATTGAGCTCAGCTCCGTCTGCTTTTATCCCATTTTACTTTTATTATAATTCAACATCAGAATCCTACTCCTTCTTGGCTGGATTATTGACACCTTGAACACACACAAGAGAATTATCTTCTGCACAGAAAAGATACATTTATTCTTTTCCAAGATCAGACCTCCAATTTTTTTTTCAATAGCATTGAGTTATACTTTCCTGCCTTATGATCTTTACTGAATAGCTCATAAGGAAAACTGAGGTAACAGAAGTACTAATAGAACATCATTTACCAGTTTCCATAAATGTAGGCATCATAAATACCTACAACTGCTGGAAAATGGTAAGTGTGAAGCAGATTACAAATACAGAAAAAAGGTGATATCAAAACTGTGGTCAAAGACTGGAAAGCACTCTCTTATTTAGCAGATAAATGATCCAACATATTCCTTAAATGTTGTGTGTCAAAAATACCATTCAAAGTTTTACTGCTGAGTACCATAATAAAAAACATAAAAGCTAAAATATATAGAGAGTGTAACATATAGAAATGGAAAATACACATGCAATGTTGCTTTCTGTATTTATGATGGAAAGCATATATGGTGAGTTTCCACAATGAGGAACTTCATTTTACTGTTTGGTTTAGCTGCTGTCAATATCCACAATCTTTGTGAGCTACTGGATTTGACCTGGTGGAGAATGCCACCATCTCAAAGCATCTCACAGTTCTTTTTCATCCTGAATGTGCTAAAGTGCTTGATGAAGGTACAAATTCTCCCTTTCTACAGTGATATTAGGTCTAGCTTTCTTCTTTGTTGCCCACCATGTCATTCTTAACAGAACTGAACCTGTAGCACACAGAAAGCTGCTAAAAAAATCAGTTGACCCTCACACTCACAAATCTTATATTCATTCTTTAATGTCCATCACTAGCTGGCAATTACTAAGTATGTGAATATGCCCTGGCAAGAATGTGCAGATCAGACAGAAGGAATTCTAGAACATCACCTATAAAATATTCCCTCAGATAGATAAACAGCTTCATTTTAAATAACACTGCTGGTCAAAAGGTCTATTTTTAAGAATATGTTAAAGAGCAGCCTATTTAGCATCTTGAGACAGGATTTCCTCTTGAACTGTTTTGGAATACTTCACTGAATTTCAAGTGCACAGGCTAGCTGCTACTGATCTATCAGTAACTCAGGCAACCTATTGTAACAGGAAGTAGTGCTCCTGCTTCAACATCATCCTTGACCAAAGCTTTTTGAACTGACTTTTATTAATTGCTTAGCGGTGATCTTGACCCACTGCTGCAGCAGGTACAGCTGCAGCAAATAGCCATTGAATGCTGCTGCTTTTTCCAGTGCCTACCTAAAGGTTATAGGGAACCTCAGATTTATTTAAGATCGTTTTAGTGATCAGAAACTTTCATTTGTTTGGTATTAACCCACTTCATCCTGATGTGGCTTGATTCTGTGATTTCTATTTTGCTTTCTGTCCTCACTGGTACCTCACTTTTGGTTTACTTATTTTAAATTACCATTATTACAGCATTTAATTGTGAAAGAAAATTCACAGCTGCATTCATCCTCTCTTCCCACCATGTGAATGCCAGTCTTCAGGAAACTGGTATCTTAGCAAGCCAGCCTAAAGGACAAACAGCTGGAGGGCTTTGCACCACCAGTGAGCAGTGCACAGGTGTCATTGCTGCAGTAAACATGGCTAGAACTGGAGAAGAAAAATAAAGGGTCATATGTTAGGAAAGACAGATAAACAGAATTTATTCAGGAGACCTGAATACAAAAGGACAAGATGCTCCTAACTGTGCACTGAAGTTAAGCTGTCTTAATCATTCCCCTGTCACTGACAGACTTTTAGAAGGAGCTTCTCCTTGGCATTGAATGGCTGGGAATTTGTTGTATACATCTATCACATGCAATTATTTATTAGACAGAAGCTGAAAAACTATGAGAACTTCTCTACTGGCTAAATTAGCAACTGTGTGCCCATTATCCACATATTCTTTCTCTGAGCACTTTTTCCCTTGGATTCCTTTTCTTCAGAGATAAAGAAATGTCTCTGGTGAGAAAAACAGCCAGCTGCCAAAGACTGGTGCTAAACCAGTCAATCAAGGGAAAACTGAGGCCTAAAAAAACACCCTCTTATGAGACCATTCAGTGTTATACCATCTTGTGCACATTGGTCTTCTGGCTCCACCAAAGCACAGTCATTCTGTTGTGGACAGCAACAGCTCAAAGCTCTCAGACAGACATCCAGGAAAAGTCCACATCCTGGCTCTGAGATCATATGTATGTCTCTTAATCATACAGCAACCCAAGCAAAACCAGGTAAACACAGACAACCCAGGCAAGGCTCCATTTCCAGTGATCTCAAACTATCAAAGGAAAGAAAACCAAAGTTGCTGAAAAGGAGACAAAGTTTTCACCACTGAGTTCCTTTACTTTTTTTTTACATAGATCAGCACACATAAAGAAGCAAAATGCAGCTACAAGACTTTCTGAAACTTCTATGAACCTAGAAATTAAAATTATATATTAATCCCACAAATTTAGAAACTAAGAATCAAAATGACATTTCATGATTGCTTTAAAACACCTCTTGGAAAATCACTTCCAACCTACTGAATATATTTCCAATGATTTCAGCAGGTTGAATTACAGCATATATATTCCATACAGGATTCTACCAAAAACAAGAAATCAAAGCTGAAAATCAGTGTTAAAACCACAGGAGGCCAAAGCTCTACAGGTTGTTTAAGAGTGCCCAGTGCCCTTCAGTGACACTAACTGCACAAGCAAGGACTGCTGGTATAAATTAATAACAGTTAATTAATAATTAATAACAGCAGAAACAGTTTTGCAAATTGCACAGATATTCAAAATTTTTAAACTGGATGTTGTCCTGATTTCTGTCTTATTTCATAGGAGTGAATGAAAAACAGCCTGAACATTACTGGTTTTTTTCTGCAAAGGATATTCAGGCCTTGCAATACACATCATATTTAAACCTCACTCCCAACTTAGCTACTTCTAAGTGCATGGTGAATTTGGTAGCCAATTTCTGGTTCTGAGCTTCAGTGAAAACATTCTTCCAGTCTCCAAAAACACCTTGAATATAGAGAAAATTATTACCCTTGACTCTAACAACCAAAGAGTATCATTTAAAACAAAAGACTAATTTTTCTCTCTTATCATATTTCATAATATTTTTTTTTCCTGTCAGAAAAAATATCTGACAGAAGAATACACACATTTACATTATGCTTGATGTCTTCAATAGAATGTGAACATAAAGCAACCATGGGAAGTTACTGGTCTGCCCAAATAGCGCTGGCATACACCTTGTACAGCTGCAGAAGACTAGAAAAGGCGACCAGCAGCTGCGGCACCAGCCCAGAAAACTCGTGTGGCTTTTAACTGCAAGAGCTTTGTTGCAACCAGACACTGCTCTAAGCTGCAGTCCACCTTTAATCTAGATTTTGGAGAGCCCGCAGCAGGGGGTTGTCTGAGGTTCTAGCCTGATCCATGGCTAAAAAACATAGATCAATCTGTGGAGCATCTGGATTCTGTGAGTTGACTGTGATCCATACGCAATCCTGAGAGTTATTTAGAAAACCCAAGGAGAAAGATCTGTGGAGGCACTCCATCTACTGGCCATCCCCAGTAGTCACAGAAGCCAAGATAAAACTCTTCTTTATTTTAGTTGGTGTTTAGTGCCCACCACAATAGCAGGTGCACTACTTGTAGGGCACTTCGGCTAATCATATTATACTGAGATTTCTGTATATCAACAAATCAGTTGAGATTTCTGAAGAGCAACTGCTGTTTCTTAAACAACAGACAGCCTTGAAAATTATACATAAATATTAACCATCTATTGATCCAAATTCCTGTCTGCCCGAGAGAAAGAGCTACCATTCACTGCTTTGGCAAAACACAAACAAATTTACCTTTATGGAAAAGAATCAAGCCAACAGCACCATGAGTCTCCTGAGTTTTAACACTCACTGGCTGAAAAGTGTGCCTTCCTGCAATGGCCTGGATCTGCTCAGCTGTTGGTGAGAATCCAAAGTATGCAGCTATCTGCTTTACACCGGCAGCCAGGTTCTGAAAGCAGTACAGCAAAAGTGAGATGTGCAATATGCTCCTCTAAAAAAGGGAGTTACCCACTTGGGATGTGTATCACTATCATCTACTAACTTCATTCACTGTTTTCCTGTGTTGCATTTCTGTTTTCTGGAGCTCTGCTTTTGTATAGCCAGACTCAACCTGTCACTAAAAATCAACTTGATTTTGCTCTTTCAGAAACCTGTGCCATTTCCTTTTAATTTCAGCAGATTCCAAGGAATGGGCTTAGATGTGGCTTGGCTGTCAGTAAACAGCATCTGCTTTACCCCTTTCAGGTCTTCATATATTATGATCACAGAACTCTTATGTCCAACGTGTTTGTTCCAGGTGACTGCAGGATCAAAACAGGATCCCAGCTGATTGTAAAGAAGAGAAGAAAGCATTGGTGTGACCTTTCTTTCTAACTGGGCACTTTTTCTGTACAACTGAAGAATTGCCTTCTGTTGCCTGTTGGTTACATCAATGCAGACAAAAAGAACAGCCTGTCCTTTCTGTGGTACTGTCTGTACAAGACTATGACAGAGGCTTCCTCTGAACTTTTGTAGGTAAAAAGTCTCCACACATAAACATGAATCTCACTGTGTGCTTCCCTTCTGTGACTATACTGTCACGTAAACATCTTTTAACAGACAAAGCCTGACATCAGCCTAAATCTAAAATATCGGTTGCTAATGAGGGATTTGGCCTAATGTGGAGAAACAGTAAAGAAACAAACTTCCATTTCATTAATACTTTGAACCTGCAGCATTTCCTCCAACACTAAGTGGCAAAATGTTGATCCAATGCCATTGTCCAGCTGCCACGCAATTCCCTCACCCTTTGCTGGAAGAGCAAATACCCAGAAGCAAAGCATCTTTTGGACATTCTCCCCTTCTGGCATTCAGCTGCCTCCTTTATCATGACATAAGGCCATCAGGAAATTAATTATGGCACAGCTGTTTTCCCACTGGCCCCATTGAGTTGTTTGTAAAATATTTTTTTCTGTTGCTTTTTCAGCTACAATCAGTATCGGTAAAAATGCAGATCTGTCATGAATCCTGAAACTCATCCCTGGAGCTGTAACTGGGGACACTTGGCACATTGTTATGGAAATGGAAAAATGAAACAGCTGTATCTTTAGGATTTCAAAACAACACTATCTGGAGTGGGAGAAAGAGGTCAACAACTTTAGATCACTCATTTACCCTGGCAACCAAAGTGAGAGTATAACCAAACATTTTGCAACCAGCAACATACTGGGAGCTATAAAATATTTTATTATTAAAGACATGGAGAACAAAATTATAACATAATCATAATAAGGACCTTATCACCACTTCTAAGATTTGTTTATGTCATGAAGAAAATGTAGAAAAAAGTAACTGGAAAGACTGTAATACTGTCATTGAATACTATCCCATAACTACCTGGGACCTGGGAAATAGTAAGGAACCATTAACCAACCTCCTGTCAGGAAAAGCTCCTTTAGAAAACCACAGCTGTTACAATCATCTCCCATTTTTCAATAATTTTCTTGAAATCCTTAAGAGACTGTAATCCTCAGAGAAGCATAAACACTTCTGAAAACACATTAAACACATTAAATATTTTTGCCAGATAAGTTTTATTTTTTCCTGCCTTATGCAGGAAAAAAAAACAGTAATACCTGGAAAAAATTTCTATCCCTTAACCAATTATTTGTTTCCTCTGTAGTGCATCTTGGAAGTGCTAAGTATCTGCCACTGTTCAGTGACCAAGTACCAGAAACACTGGTGTTTTAACCTCATGACTCTTTGCAAGGACACAGCCAATGTCCCAGAGACACTGCTGCCACATTCATTCCTGTCGTGACTGTGCATAGAAAAGAGTTGCATAAAAAAGGAAATCGTGACACTCTAGCAATTGCAGACCACTGCAACAGCTCTACGTATGTCCTTGCTTGTGTCAACTCCAACACCCCTGAAGCTACTGTAAATTTTAGGGGGTGCTAAGAGAGCCAAAGTATCATGAGACTCCCACTGTCTCCAAGTTGTTTTCCCTCAGTGCCACTTGCTTGGGTACAAAAAAAGAATATGGCCTCAGAGTTAGTCTTGCACACTGATACTGTCAGAGAGATGAGGCTTGTTCTTGGAAAAATACAAAAACCCACTGTACCTTCTTCCTTGAAAATAGAATTGGGGAGGCAACTATAATTCAGGTGTGTTATCAAAATGCTTAGAAATAGAATCTATTTTATCCTCTTCAGAATTAAACAGAACCAGAAGAGAGAACATGTTTTTTCACACTGGCGCAGCAATGATTTGTAAGAATTGCCTGTGTGAAAGAGCCCTTAATCAGAAGGCATTAGTCATCAAAAATTACCTTCTTTCCCATCTCAGGAGAAATAGCCTTACTTGCTTCATGACTTCATTTTAATAACTTTTGTGCAGGAGTGCAGGAGAGAGAAAAAAAGAGTTTTAAATGGCTTGACAATTTGCTTTCACTAACCTGATATTTACCTGGATCTCCACATTTAATAAAATTCGTTCTGTGCTTACATGTATACCCTGGACAGTTGTAAATATCAAAAATTTAAAGTCTAGATAAACCATTTCATACCTGCACCAAGAAACCCAAAGAACAAAATAAAACATGTCAGAGGATTAAATAAGACGTCAGAACCTTCTCATTACAAAGATTAATTCAGCATAATAGTCATCAAATAATAACACCAATGCATTCAAATAATTATTGACAAAGTAATGTTTTCCGCTAATGAGATCCTCAACAACTGTGTTGTTGTAACTGTGAGCTTCCTGACTCACTAATAACTGGAGGCAGAACTGACTCAACAAGGCACTTAATATTTTTTCATATATTCATAACATAGTGATAGGAAATTACAGGAGCTTTCCTGTCTTTTACAGAGAGACACATGGGAAGATTCTGAGTAGGAGAAGGAAGGAATTAGCAAGAAGCTCCGCTCATTCTGCTGAGGGAAGCATCTGCCTCTCTCTGCTGTCCTAGGTCAAGGGTGAAGCGGAGTCACTTATTCAATGTCACTGCCAGTGCATGTCCTCAGCTGTGCCTGTAGCTGTGTCAGTAAAACACGTGCCAGAACAAGTGCTAGAAGAGCTGTTCCCCCAGACACCTGCATCCCTCACTATCCCTTACCCTTTGGAAGTCATCTTGCAGTAAAGCCTCCCCCATACTGCATTCCATTCCAGCATGAGCCTGTGGCCAGTTCCTGGAGCTGTGCCGCAGAGACAACTTCCCCAAGGCTTCTATGACTCCCGTTTGCCCCAGTGCTGCTCTGCCGATTGCTAGCAGGATAGAGCAAGGGAACAGCGCACTCACCTCGACCCACCCTCCCTGTGACCCTGTGGGGAAGTGCTTGGAAGGCTTCCCACGGGCCCCCACAATGGAGCTGTGGAGTTATCACTGCCTCCTGCAGTGAGTCCCACGTGAATCCAGCTGCCAGATGAACTAACATGGAAAACACAGTGCAAACAGCTCATGCTTTGTGGAAAGTTATTCCCAGAAAGGAATAAATTCCACCCTTACATAAAGGGCGCCAGATGTTTGGGTGGAAGCAGCTGATACATGTCATTTATACAGTAATGTATACATAACACACATTATACAATGTCTTATAACACATTTATAATTTATATAACACCTAACATCATGCTTTTTTATATGACATTGTATCATGGATATCATTTATATCACTCTCCCATTTACGTACAAAGCCATGCCCACATCTGCCAAGATGAGCACAAAAGCAAATTTCATTTTAACAAAAAGCTACAATTGATAAGCCTAAAATTCCCAATCTCTAAATTCCTTACTGGCTTCTCAACCATATGAGCCATCCCTAGGAACTACTGATTCTTGAAGATCCACTGTCTTTAATCCCTACTTCATCAATAGTCCTTTGCATCAGTTTCTCTCTCTACTACATACACCTGAGCTGGGGAAAACCTTTAGTACAGCGAGAATTTGCTGTAATTTAACCTTCATAATACTTAACAAGTAAAAGGAATGAAAGCTGTAATATTACTGCTTTAAGAAGCAAAGCTTTTGAATGGCCTCAATGCAAATTTCCTCATCACACATGTTCATGACAGATCATCTAAGTATGGCAAATGCCAAAGAGTTTGAGCCCAGCATGGAAAACACTGAAGAAGCTGGAAGAGGAAGCCAGACATCAGGGCCCCTTGGCTCAAGAGGGAAAGAGACCTGGAAAGACATTTTTATTTCTGCCTGGTGACACTATGATTTGGTGGGTCCCAATGTCTCATCAAGGGGCAAGAGAGAGCCCAGCAATTTCTAGTTTCAAACTGGGGCAGGTAATCTTTTCTTTTCATTCTTTTTCCTCTAGTCTTGCCTTTTTTCACTATCATTTGCAAGCTATAGGACATTAGGGCAAAAGATCTATTTAACATGGTTTTAAAATGTAGAAGTAAATATCCAAATGGGAAAAAAGACGAAATATTTACCTGCAGATTGAAACCATGCTGCACTGCACAAAGCATCATTTTCTCTCCCCCCAGCTTTCCCATTTTTTCTTTCCCGTTTCTTCTGTGAAACCTTCCATACAGGCTTTTCCACCAGCGTGCCTATCAGGTGACAAGGTGCTGCATTCCTCAGCAAACCATGGGGAGCTGTGTACCTCCTTTCCTACTGAACAACTGACAGTGGTCTTGAGTAAAATATTCCCCTGCTGAGCTACCACAAACTGTCCAACCTTAACAACTGAGATTTTTTTTTTTTTCTCTCTCTCTCTACTCATCCTCTGCCCTGAGCAGGAGAGGATTACTAACTTACTAAACCTCAGTGACAACCCATATCATGTCTCCACACCTGAACTCTTCCCAACTCTGTGAGAAATAAAAGCCAGTGCCAAGATACGACAAACAACCTCTGTGTAGGGTTGTAGGGTCCAGCAGAAGTCTGGACCCAGAGGGATTATGGGCTCCTTAAAACAAAAATGCATATTTCACATTTTGTGCCTGGTCCTTCCTATTTTTATTTGGCCTCTTACAGTTCAGTGTTCTGTCTCACAGCTGCTATAAATTCACCCTAAACAATACAGGCATGCTTTTTAAGCCCCTAAATACACTACTAATACTACTTCTTTCCAGATCAGAACTTGCCAACCAATGCAAATTCTATATGCTACATGAGACCCTGACCTAGGACCCTCTCTGGTTAGAGCCGCAACTGCTACAATGACAATGCAGTGAATTCCTTTCCCTCCATGTTTTCTCCAACAACCCTAAGCTTCTGCGTCTTGGATTGATCCTGTTCACTTATAATCCTCAAAGCAGGAATTACTTTACTAAGAAATCCCACTGAGTACAAGCAATACTTGCAAAGTCAGCCACCAGAGAAGAGAATTGGAAAATTAATCACCCCGTAAGAATGAGCAGCAAAAACACTAGCAGGGTGGAGGGGGGGGAAGCATCTTACAAAGAAAAAAAGGTCCCTATTAAGGAAAATCTGAAGAGCTTTTGTTTTGGCAATAAAGTCAGTCACATAATATGAGTTAAGAGCAATATGAATAATAGAAGACAATTAAAATGAAAGTAATAAGATGAATGTGTCTTTACAAACAGACCATGTAAATCTGCTTCTAGATAGGACTAGGAACTTACAGATATGGAAGTAACAGAAGAAAGCCTTATTCTAGAAAAATATTACTATCAACACAGACTGCTGCTCAGCCAAGGCCACATTAAATTCCTGATCCTAGAGAAAAAGAACAAAGACTTAATAGAATAATTAATAGGATTATATAACCAAAGAGGGGATGTACATTAGAAGGGAGCATAGAGCAATTTGGGGAAGTCTGTATCTTCCAAGTATCTCAGCCAATGGGAAAAAAGAAGAGGGAGATTCAGTCAGAAAATTACAATAAAAAGGGGGCTGCATCCCCCAACAGTTTGAGAGACCTCATGGGAAATGCCCATGGTCTTTATTCTAATAACATTACACAAGTCCATTGTCTCCTTTTTGGACATAAACCTCTGGCATTGTGGATTAATTTTCCTTACACTTGGGAGACACACTTATTATTTATTTCAGAGTTGCACAAATCTGAGTGCTCCAATGTATTCTACAAATCAAGCACACCAACTATCAAAAGATTTTACTATTTAAACAATTTAGCAGACTAAGGAATTAGTGTTCATTGGCTGCAAGTGACATAGTTCCCTTATTAATCAGTCTTCCACCTTCTATTAGTTAATGATTGCCTTCCTTCTCATGCCAATCAGTCAACATGCTTGGTCTTTCTCTTCTTTTGGGTAGGTGGTTTTCTAGGGTCCGTGACCATGAGTCAGTGGTAACAATCTGCCCCTGCCATAAATTACCCAGTCGGAGCAGAGTTTGCTTTATCAGCCTCTTCCGTATCTTGGGGGTTCTGCTGGATGTCTCTGTGTCCACTATCAGTTGTCTATCCTTCTCACCGGCATTATTAACCTCTCCTTAGGCCTGAGATTACTGAAGCATATCGGGCCCAAGACTTTAACTAGGAAATTCTACCGACAAGTATTTCGAACACCTGGCCATCGCTTAGCGCTCGCCTGTCACCCGCTATGTGCCTCACGGATTAATCTCTTTTCTCGTTGATTCAGCCGGATACTCAACAAAGCCCACCCTCGCTGGAGGAGATTTTCACACAGCTCCTGTTTTGCAACACTCGCTGCCGGGCGGCCATGACGGGGCCGTGAGGCCGAGGGGCGGCGGCGCCTGCGCAGCGCTGCGGGCGGCGGAAGGCGCCGAGCCCCGGCCATGGCGCGGCGCACCCTGAGGGGGCTGCTGCTGCTGGAGGCGGCGGGGCTGCTCGGCGCCCTCCTGCTCTACCGCGCCATGGACCGCAGCCAAGGTGCGGCGGGGCGGGCGGGGGCCGCGCCCCGACGGGGACGGGGGTGGGCAGGCAGGGGAGGCTCCTCCGTGTGGGGAGAACCGCGTAATGCCGGGCTCTGTAAGGAAATGCTGCCGCGTGGGGTCAGGAGTTCGGCTTGGGTGAGTGCAGGCACACGGGGGTGGCTTGTTGGGCGGACCCTCTAGGATTTACCTCCGAAGAACGAGCTGCTGTTGTAGTTTTACAAACCCGAACCCGCGAGCAATCCTTCGGGACTTCGCGCAGCACGCGAACACACCAGGAAAAATGAGGAATCCTGCGCGGTTTTACAGTGACGGCAGCGGGCCAGATAAGGAATTAAAAGGGAGAGAGGCTGTCTGCAAATGAGGCAGGAATTGATCAGTCCTGTTTCAGGCATCTGGTGTTGAGCCCTTGGAGGAATGCCCCGGCTGTGTCTGGGTCTCGCAGCCTCTGCGGTTTGACATTTGCCAGGCTGACGACAGACCCGGCTGGCAAGAGGTGGCCAGCCTCGTCTCCCGGATTATTTAGCTTCAGTCCCTCCGGTCTCGTAGACTTCGGACTCCTTGCCCAGCTAACAGAGAGAAAATAAGCAAAGCACCAGTTTGGTTACAAGGTTTGCCCTGCAGAGCAGCGGCCTTACTTTGCATGCAGGGCTCTGCAGGGTGCAGCACTGGTTAGACAGATCCGTGTCCCTGCAGGAAAAGAGCCTGTCCTGCAACCTGCAGGGTCAGGGCGAGCCAAAACGCACTGCTGCTTTGGCTGGGAGGGCAGGAGTACACTGATTTCAGCAATGGTGTGGTCTTCATGCCAAGTGCAAGCTGAGCTTCACCTACACATCAGTTTCCATTTGTTTTCCAAGACCCAGATGATGTCAGGCTGTTAAATTTCAGCCATCTTTGCATTTTTATTAGAAAATACATATAACAAAAACACGGAGGAGATGTTGTCAGCCTGTTGTAACTTGGTGCTTGGCGTCCATCTTTGGGGGTTTTTTTTCTCATCTTTTTCAGTTCTAAGTCCTAGTTCTTAAATGTATTTGCATATTTTCTTCGACTTCAGTTCTGTATGGTGCAGTGAGCTAATCAAACAGCTCAGGGTACTCAGTGAGGCTTTTCTTGTTTTCTTTATGTTAGTACTAGAATGGGTAACATCCTTTTATGAGCTGCTGTAAATAATTAAAATAGCATAAACCTGTTGTGATTTTCTACTGAGTTGTCAGAGCGGCCCATGGAATGAGTCGGTGAACATCTAAATCTGCACAGGGAAACAAAGCAATTTTCCCTGGTTTTATCTGCATGTCAGTCTATGAGAGGCGTGCAGCTTCCTGAGAATCTGTAGCTTGGACTGGGTTATCGCAATTGTGAGGAAGCTCAGAAAATGCTGTGATGATGGGGCTGCACATATGAGTAACCTGAATAAAGTCTCTCAAATTATTTTAAATAAATAAATTCCTACCACATTATTTAATGGTGGCTGTAACTAAAGAGCTCAAACAAATTTTGATAAATCAAGTAAGAAAAATAGTGTGTTTAATTATTCATGTTAATATATGCTGGGAAAGTAATTTATCTTTCTTGTCAGATTTCAGATACACAATGCAGAAGAGGTTTCCATCAATTCTGGAAGGTGAGTTTGTAGTTGTTGGCTTCAGAAGGATGGCTGAAGCTTATGTTGCATCTTAATATATAAAACCGATCTTAGGCTAGCTTAAAACTTTCCCCGAGAGACACTGCAGAAGTTTTTATTGTTAAGGCATGGCTGGAGTGTCAGGCTGTTGGATAGAGATCTCAGAGCTGGAGGGTTATACACTGAATAAAACTAGCCACAAAGGGGCTGCTTGACAGATATGTCTAACTTAGAGCTGACATGGATTTTCCTATTTTTCAGTTTATTACAAATCCAATGAGTGGTCTGGAATTCATGGCATAAGGGAGAATGACCAGATGACATGGTTAAGCAGCAAGAACTGAAGTAAGAAAGATGTGTGATTAAATAAAAAAAACTATTTAAGAATAATTATTTTTAAAATGTCCACATCAAGACGTCCAGTTCATCGTCTTGATTTCTTGCCTTTGTACTTGTTTTTCAGCCCTCTGTGCCTGAACTGTTTCTTCTTTTTGATGATGCTTTTCACATCCCTGTTGTGAAGCCACTTGTCACGCTCTATTTCCCATTGGATCTGTTTGACATCTGTAGGAGGCAAGGTGAGAAATAAGGAGCCGATGGATACCTCTGACCATGATATGGCATACAGATGAATCATGTAAAAGTTAAAATTTGACTACTGTATTTATAAAAGTTAATAAAGTCCAGACTGCCTCTTTTTTTTTGAGAAAGCTGTGGGTTTTTTTCATTTCACAAAACAAACCCTACCATCTTAGAATTTTACACATTACTTTGTATTTTACTAATGCTAGACACATTTGCGTCCGGAGTAGTGTTTGAGTGCTCCTAACGTTTTTCAGGTGACACCAGCAAGACTTGTAAAAGCTTTACAAAGCTTTATTCAACCAACATATACACATGTAATTCATCAGAATTATTTTGGGAAAACTACTTTCTGCTTTACTGATACTGCAAGGACACAGTCCAAGAGGTAGGGAAAGACAGCAATACCTTATGCCTTCCCAAGGAATCAAGGACGCTTTACCTGAGCAGAATTCACACAGATGCTTGACAAAGAGCATCCTGCCTGTCTCTATTTACGGTGTGAAAGGGCCAATGACAGCCTCTCCCTCTTTTCTGAAGCTTTATTCACTCCACTACTCCCAGTTAATATTTAGTGCTGGGAATCTCTTGTCACTGGAGAAAAATATCATGTCTTACTGATGTTGAGCTACTGTCCCTGCTGTGTGGTTCCTGACCCTGTATTCCAGTTAAAGGTGGTTCATCTTTTCATGTACAGAACCTGAAGGGAAAGAAGTGGGTCTCAGCATTACAACTGCCTGCTACTTGCAGCGTGTACTTACTTGCATTATCTCTGTTGGCCATGGCATTCATTCCAATATTGTCAAACTTAGACCCAGCATTTTCATCCAGCAGATAGCCAAACTTTAAAGAGAGAAATTTTAGTATTCTGTTACAAAGCAACAGGTAAAATGCTTGATCACTTTCTGTTAAGCACTGATCAAACTCACCTCTTCTGCAGATGCCAGTATACCAGCATCTTGGAGTTTTCTCTTCTTTCCTTGTCTGGGTCCTTGAAACACAAAGTATTATTCTTATGAAACACAACTTCAAGTCCCCAAAGACACTAAAATAAAGTTTTACCACGTTTCAAATTTTTAGAATTTTTAATGAGATCATCTGAATTAGGAATGCTGGAAATCTTTGTTCCCCACCTCCCTTAAAAGAAAAGGGAAAAAAGTTTCCAACCAAGAATTAAATAGCACAAATCTGCGCATCAGGAGTAAGAGATGCACAAATCACCAGTACAACTCCATCCTTCTTCACAATTCCTCCTTCAATTCTCACGTCTTCAACAGAAGATTGTTACTCTGAATTATGCTGGTTGGGGGACAACCTCTTTTTCATTTATGGTTTATTCAAATCTGCACCTAGATCCAAAATGTGACAATCTACTGTAGTAGATCCCTCCATTCCAAAAGTTTTGGACTATTTTATTTGTGTTAAGGTTTCATGTCAGTGTTTTCTTACCTTCCAGTGATCCCGCAAAATTAGTATCTTTCTTTTTCTTGCCCTTTTTACTAATGGATTTCAGTTGCACGTCATTGTTTGAGTCTGATAGGAAAAAAATCCAAATACATCAGTCTCCAATTTTCACACCATGTACGAGTATATAAAGTGCAGCAGAGACTAAAATTCCTTTTTAGGCATATTTGTCATAACGGTCCAAATCTTTAAAAGGCAGTGCACACAAGCAAATTTAGTATTTCCTCAAGCTGGACAGTTAAAAATTGGTCTGTGGTGTGCTGTTCTTTATGTCTTTTCCACAGCACTAGAAGGGAATGACATTATGATACATAAAATAACAAAAGCTAAAAGCAGGCGTTAAGTTAACCTCGAATGACTGCATGGTAAGTTTGGTGAAATAATAATCTCATTAAAGACTGTGTTAACAACTGTACAAACAGTTTACCTCCTCTACCCTCAGTCATCTTCCTGTGACCTTTAGTTATTCATTGAAATACTCCATTAATCTCTGCTTCTCCAGGCACATGCACTCTATTCTGTGTTAACTGCTTTTCAGGTGAAAAAATAAAAGCATGCAGGTACAAGAATCAGTTACTACTACAGTGGTAGTAAAAACTTGAGTGCACAGCTGTATTACAAGAGTAAGCTGTTATTTGTAAGACAGACATTTCTATAAAAGTTCATCTAAAAAGAAAATCAGCATTAACTATGTCGAAACAAATACAAAAATTACCAATTACCAGAGTTTTTATTTTTCTTCTTGAGCTCTTCTAACATTTCTGCCTACTGAAGCCAGTTATTTGTGTATAAAGCTACTGTTGTTATGCCAATTTTCAACATGAAAGAAACATATCTCATTTGGAAGTTTTTATACGCAGATGCCTAATTCCCACTCTCACCTAGGAGACTGTGCCAGGAAATGCTTCTCTTAAGACTTCACTGTACAGAGAAGGACTTGCCATTTCTTCGCTGAAAAGCCAAACTTCCCACCTAGGTAACTAAACTGGAATTTGCATATCTAGTTGCATATTAGATAACCTATTTTTAAAGCTTTTTCTTCTTGTTTTTTGGTAACAAATGGCACTTTACCTAGGTCGTTATCATCTTCAGACACATCCATAAATACACCTCCCTCTTCATCCATATCCTCATCAAAGTCTTCCTCCATACTTCCTAAGGAGACTTCCTCATCATCCAGATCGCTGAAGTCATCTTCATCATCAGAATCCTCCCAGTCAGCACCAGATCCTTTAC